CAACAACAACAACAACAACATTCAAATATGCCAATTTGTCTTGATAATAGTGGTCGAAATAATCATGGTTTATCATCATTGAATCAATCGCCACCAATAACATCGAATCAACAACAATTATTATATCCATTATCAACATCAACTACACCACCACCACCACCTACACAAATACCCCCATCTCATACACCAAATTCACATCAAACATCATCACCAGTATCCATTCATCAATATGGTAATAATGCTAGTGGTCAACCACCTTATCCACGATTTCCACCTTATGATCGTCTTACCGAACAACAACAACAATCGCAACAACTAAACAAACATCTACCTGATCAATCTACCATTGTTTCAAATCCAAATTCAAATAGTCAATCAAATGATTCAACTAGTCCATCATTTTATTCAAATAATAATAATAATAATAATAATAATACTTCATCATCATCGACAACAGCAACAACATCCAACAATGTTGTTGTTGTTAACCCTTCAGCAACAGCACCAACTTCCTGTTCAAATAGTCAACAACAACAAATTCCATCATTAGCTTCTACTGCACCACCACCATATGATTGTAGTGGTGGTGGTGGTGGTGGTCGTATTTCAATAACACCACCATCATTAGATGGTAATGGTTCAAATGGTGGTGGTTTTGGTAGCTGTAAAATATTAAGTGACGGTAGTATTACACCATTAGATCAACAAAATAATCAATCACCATCACCAAATTCATCATTACATCATCATCAACAACAACAACAACAATTATATGGAATTGATAATAATATTGGTTCAATTGGACATTTAGGTGGTCCACCTGTTTCACCTGGACAACAATCACAACAATCTGAAGTACCATCATTAGTTTATCCATGGATGCGATCACAATTTGGTATGATTTTTTTTTTGTTTGTTTGGTTATTTTAAAATTAAAAAAAAAATTCTGTAATTATTACTGCCACCTGTTGTTCTGGAATCAAACTAATTAGTTTTTTAAATGAATTGTTTACACAATTTCTACGATAGATGGCATTCAATCATAAGAATATGGAATTTTGAGCAAAAATTCTATCTGACAAAATTCTGTTTGTTATTGTTTTTTTTTTGTGTAGAATATTCTATAATGATTCTGATGCGATTAACTAATTAATTGTGGTCAATCGGATAATCGTAATACTTTTTGTAATGAAAAGTAAGGATAATGATAATAGTTTTTAAAAAAAAAATTAAAATAATAGTTTATTCAAAGTTGACCTCTAGAACTATAATGATAATGATAGAATTATTCCAAGTTTTACTTGCATCATTTCGTAATCTTTCAATTATCTTATCCTAGATTCTAGAATAATTAGAACAATTCAATTAGAAAATAAAGATGTTTATTTACTAATCAAATTGTGAATTTGAATTGAAAAGTAAACTGAATTTTTTTTTTGTAAAATTCCGTCTTGTTATGAATTTCATTTCAGTAGAAATTTAATAAAATTTCCTATAGAATTTTAACGATTTTCATATTAGATGGCGCTTATTGTTTCGAGAGAAAAAAAACAGAATTTCTTTTCAAAAAATTTCTTGATAACTTTATAAATTCAGGAATTTTTATAAATTCTGTTTGAAAAATCTAAATAAATTCTCATCAGAATATCGATTGAATGGTTTTTTCTTTTCTTTTCTTTGGGTGTAATAAAATATACGCATCACGTATTTAGCCATTTCGATTTCTTTATTTTCTAGTCAACCAAAAAAGAAGATAAAGATTTCACGTTTTTTTCGTTCAATTTGGAGTTAAGTATTTCGAATGAACGATGGAATTAGATGATGGAATCCTAAGCTTTTCCAACTGATGTGATCATTTTCCAGACAGATTCTATTTCCCTTTCCAAAAAAAAACGAAAGATATTCCATTTTGATCAGTTTTTTTTTAGTTTTCAAGAGATGCTGTTGTTGTTGTTGTTGTTGTTGAATCTAATTCCATTAAATAATGGTGAATTAACACACGAAGAAATTCCAATAGTGTTTTTTCTCTCTTTTCATTGCACGATTCCATTTTGCGATAAATTCCGTTTCAAATTCCGTTGTTGTTGTTACTGTTGTTATAGTTTTCCTTTCCTAATGATTCCATTTTTGCAGCAAGAGAGAGAGAGAGAGAGAGAGAGAGATTCTGGATACTCTAGAATTATTATAGAATTTATCCATGAACAACGAAAATGAAACTTTGCAGCAGCAGAAAAGTACTATCGAAAAATACTATTAAAAGATTTATTTGCACAATTCATTTCAAATGACACATCGCAAAGTATCGCAAAGTGAACAACAACAACAACAACAACAAAAAAGTTTGTTTCACTTCATCTCACACACACACACGATGTGCATTTTTTCGTTGTTAGTAGAATATACTTTCACATCATATCATTTCTTCAAAGTTTTTCCTTCTCTCTCTATTCTCTCTCTCTCTCTAATAAGTTCTCTCTTATATATTTCAATTCCAATCGGAATTCCAATTCCAAAATGTTGTGCGTGTGTTCATTTCCTGTGAGATTTGTTTTTGTTGTTTTGTTTGGAGATCCTTTTCGAAAAGTTTTTGCTGCTGTTGTTGTCTACATCATTTTGATGAGAGAAAATGTAATTTCAGTGAATTTCAAACCAAACCAAACGAGAAAAAAAACCGTTAATGGAAAAAATAGAAACTTTTTTTTCATTTTGGATAGGAAAAAAAAAACAATTTCCAGAATTTCCAGAATCCAAAAAGAGAGAATTTTGAAACGAAAATTGAAAAATGTCTTTTTTTTCTTTGCCTATAATATTCTTCTGTTGGAACAACATTATAGCTTGAGTGGAAAATCGAAAAAAAGCTTTTGGAATTTCCGAAATAGAAAAAAAATTCATATAAAAAATGATACAGACTGAAAAGGCAATCCTTTTTTTTCCCTAATCCAAATGAATGAGAAACATAATCCTTATAGACTTAATACGGGTTTATTTTTTTTCATATTCTGAATATGAAAACCCAAAGAAAAAATGAACCAGAAAAATAGTAAAATAAAATATAGTTTTGGTTTGAATCCCAGAATAATAATGATAATGAATGATAATAGAGATGTGTTTGTGTGATTAGTTTTTCTGGTTTTCTGGTTTTCTGGTTGTCTCTTTGGCTTTGGGTTTGAATAAGTTTGAATGAAAAATTCATTAAGATTTTCATTTTCGGAATACTTTTGCTGAGTTTTTTTTTGGAATTTCGGTTTTTAAATTCTGATTTTTTTAAATTTTTTTTCGGTTTTTGATTTTTCACAGAAAGAAAACGTGGACGACAAACATATACCAGATATCAAACATTAGAATTGGAAAAAGAATTTCATTTTAATCGTTATTTAACTCGAAGACGACGTATTGAAATTGCACATTCATTATGTCTGACTGAACGACAGATAAAAATTTGGTTTCAAAATCGCCGAATGAAATGGAAAAAAGAAAATAAAACGAAAATTGATCATCAAAATCAACAAGGAATACCGATTGGTACTGGTGGTGGACCACCAGGTTCAAATAATGGTGGTAATGGTGGATCTTGTATGGATTTAAATCATCATATTGATATCGATGGACATCGAGGCTAAACTAACTTCATCATAAAAAAAATCACTAAACAAACAAACAAACAAACATCACTCAGGTCAGGAACAAAACATACAACAACTACTTTACAACTCATTTATACGTAATCATTTTTTTTATCAAGTAAATTCTTTTCTTGCAACCTCACTTACACACAA